TGATTCTTACTTCAGCATGAGAGCTTACGAAGCTTCAAGCAATCCTCACTTCATAAATTGTTATTAATTAAGGTTTAAACTTTAAACAGATTGTAATGACCTAAATATGTCAAAATTGAATTAGGCTATAGCTAAGATTGCAGTTTACTATCGCATTCCAAGGTCAGAAGTTTTTATGATAGCTTACAATATAATACTTACAAATGATTTTTCAATAAAGGACTACCGAAAAATCAAATCAAACATATATCTTTAGTCAATATATATAGATAAATCCTTCTCATTTATAAAAGTAAATAATCAATTCAACATAAAAGTTGAAACTTAGAAGTAAAGGTCTACCAATGGTTTTTACATTTCTCTAACAATAAGTTCAACTCTAAAAAAATGTTGATGATCATATTTTCTTTTTCGGTGTCAGAAATCATTTACATTTATTATAACATGACTTACATGCGCAATGTGATGATTTTTTATAGAAAATTATAAAGATAAAATAACCTATAACTAAAATAAATTCAGAAAAAATCAAATACGACAAAGAGCCAAGAAGTGGTATATTTTTGCTTCACTACATTATGATAAATTTTGTAATTTATTGACTACTAGGATGAACTGATTAATTTAATTATGATAATCATACACAAATATAAAAATAAATTTTTGTATTTGGTATTAACATTATACTTTAGCATTAGATGTGACGTGATATTTTTAAAAACATTTTTTAATAATCTCTGTTTTTTTTTACAATTATACTTTAGCATGATATTCATAATAAATAATATAGTTACTTGCATAAACAGTTCCCAATTAATGTTTTAACATGTTTGTTTAACTTAATTCTTATTTTACAATAGAATAGTTACACTTTTTGTTATAAAAAAAAATAAAGAGCAAATAAAATATGGCACTTTTCCTAAATTAGATCTTAAGTCATCTTATACTTTCTCACTTCTCAAAAAGAGTTTGGAGTGGCAAGGGGGGACGTATCCAGAAGTAGCACACGTGCCCAATTTTCATGGGCTTTAGTGCTTTACAATAGATGTTTCTTTTACATAATAGCCATCAATCATTGTCAACCAGTTTTGGAATTAGATTAAACATAAATTATAACTATAAAAGTGTATTGCGTAAGCAACAGACAAATGAGGAAGACTCGTGCTTGCCACATGCTGGGTGAAATTGAATGGATAGTATATTGCATTGAGACAATCTGGTTGAACGTGAATGAATAATGAACTTATATATATACCAAAGTTAGAGTACAAAATTAAACAAGAAAGATCAGCATTAAAAATATTGTGTTCGAGCTTGAGAATGAAAAAATATTTGGGACAACTACTCTTTTAATAGAATCTGACAAGTGCTCAAATCAGATGTAATTTGAAAGATGAACCGGTTGAAAAACTATATATATATATATATATATATATATATATATATATGAGAATTTAGTCTAAATTGTTAACTATGAAATTTATCGATATAAAATTATAAATATTTTTGAGAGGTTTATATTTTCACATCTGTACTGTCACTCTCGGCTCTTGGGGTAGGTTTTGAATTAGAGTTGGCAAAACGGGTTAACTCGGCTTAACCCGACCCAACCCGCGTTCAACCCGAAAAAAACGAGCTGGGTTAGGGTTGGCTCGAAAAATAAACGAGCCAGAAAACTTAACCCAACCCGACCTGAGTCGGGTTAGGGTTAGCTCGCGGGTTGGTTCGAAAAAATGAAAAAATAAAATAAAATTCCATTGATGCTCTAACTTCTAATTTTTTTTCCTAAATTATTAATTCATTCAATACAAATATATTATACAGATGAATCATAGAAAATTCTTTTTGCATTTGGACTTGGACTTATTGGCAGTTGGCACCACATTCACACTGTTACACATACTATAAAAAAGGTTCTTAACGCACAGTTTTGGACTTATTGGCAGCTGCAGGGTATTTTCGTTTGGGTCTTTGAAACTTGGATTTTAAGTTTTAGCTTTCTACTTTACCTTCATTAATTTTTATACTTTTATATTAAAAAAACCATAATCCGCGAGCCAACCCGTTTGACCCGTAAGTTAGCTCAATTTTTTTTGAGTTGAAACGAGTCGGGCTGACTCAAGTTATTAACTCATTTTTTCTAACCCAACGAGCTCATTTTACTCGAGTTACATTTTGAATGATTGGTAATTTGCCTTGCGTTACTATTTCTGCTTGGGCTCACTTTTTGGAAGCAGCAGCTACCCTCTATAATTATCGACTACTAATGTACACTATTTAGCCCAATCAGCCTATTTCTGCCTGGGCCACATGAGTACCAGCAAAAAAAATCTATAAACTGAACAGATTAATAATTTCCTAATTCCAATTTCTAAAAATTAAAATAAAACATAACCCATTTCAAAGATTTTTATTTATTTTTTCATGAAAATGTTTACTTTTTATGTTTGGTATAAGTTATTAATTTTTTTTTAATAAAAAGTGATTCTCAAAATATTTTTGCATGGTCATTCTATTCTCATAATATAAGAATATTTTTATCGTATGAAATATAGGATTTTATATATATATATATATATATTTATTATGTTGCAGAAAATTTGTAGTGTCATGTTACTCTCACAAAAAATGATGGTCCCACCTTATTTTCTTTTTTCTTCTTTCTTTTTGAGTGGGACCCACATCAAACATATTAAAGTAACATGATATTACAAATTTCTTACAACATGACATATATAAAACCGTGAAATATATTAAAGGTGACAAAATGAGCAATTCGCCTCCAACTCACCTTAAAATAAGTCAAGTGGCCCCACTCATTTTAAAAGTGTGTTGGAAATCTCAACTTACCTTGTGCTACCTATATATTAAAAATGAAAAATGAAATTTAAATTTTATTCCCCAATTATGTATAGGGTATCATCAAGACTAATTTTTTTCTAAATAAAAGAAAAAACTGATAGATTAATATGCTTCTCAATAGATTCAACTAGTTTTTGTGACGCCTTGTGTTCTACATTCCTTGAAGAAATTGTATTCCTCGCAGGCTTTCACCACTAGCTCTAACAACTGTATTTTCTTTAACCGCCGCCTTTTTTACTTGGTTCTTATCAGTATCATCATGAAAGTTGGAGAAGGCATAAACGTTGTTGTAAAACAGAAGTCAGTTTGTTTTCATGATAGTGAGTTTCTCAACCTAACTCTCCATATATGGCGAGTTCTTCACGAGAGTCCAATGAATTGGAGTCATTTTATCACCTCTAAAATATCTAATTACTTTTCATTCTATTGTCATGTTTATCAAACAACTACCAAAATTCAATTACGCTTTACTTTGGTTATGGTTACCGATCTGATTATTATTCGTGAATCAATTAAATGTGATCGTCGTTAATCTTAATAATACACTAATACCATTCATAAGATTATTACTCCTGAGAATAATTTCCAAAACTTAAAACCAAACAACTTTTATTTTAATTTTTTTTTTTTAAAAAGCACCTTCCAGGCCCAATTTGGAGGAGCAGTTACCGGTCCAAAAAATTTTATTTATATTTGCACAATTAGCTGTGGGGCTCCCAAAAATTATTTTTAAAGAAATTTTAAATATACTAAAGAACAAAAAAATATAAACAAGAAAAAAAAACTTCAATTTAAAAAAAATATATATAAAAAGTGATACACAGTTCTTAGGGGAGGGTTGCAGCAGGGAAGAGCCAAGAAAACGTTCCACAGAGAAGAGGTGGAACTGGAAGCTCTCTGTCTATCTCTTTGGAGGTTGTTGCTGAGGTTGCAGAAGCCATTGAATTAAGGAAAATAATAGAAAAAGAAAGTAAAGGAGGAAGGTGCAAAACCTCGTTGCTTCCTCGTGCCACCCTCAGTGTATTTATATGACGTAAAGGGATATATCTCTCTAAAGAACTTTGAGATACACCACTCTAAAAATTAGTTCAAAAGGTGAGAGTGTCCAAAGCCTTATAAAAGCCACATTACATCTCAACACGATAGCCATTTGGGGACTATATATCTCAACACGCCTCCTCACACGAGAGTCCTTTGGACTAGAAGCGTGGATATTGCACAGACATAATTTTTGGATTGTGCTTTAATTTTAATTCCACCTTAAAGTGGGGCGGTGAGGATCGAACCTGTGACCTTGTACTCAAGGTCTGATAGCATGTAAAGAACCTTGGGATACACCACCCTAAAAGCTAGATCAAAGGGTGGGAGTGCCCAAGACCTTATAAAGGCCACATTAGTTGCCCACACAATCAATGTGAAATTATATATCTCAAGAATCTATCTTTGTAAATTTATGTGTGCACTTGCACATATAGGTTTGCCAGTGAGTAGCACGATATAGACTACTAATTACCTTTAAAAATAGCATTTAAAAACTGAACCAATGACTAAGTACTACAATATAAATGTCAATAAAATAATTTAACATTAAGTAAAATTTAGTCATTAGAAATGTGCATTACTTGTATTTTACTCCGTAATTTAAATTATTCATACAATTCAATCCCTAAATCATTTGAATTCGTTTTAGGTTAATTTTTATTTGAGATAACAAAACGATTAATGTAAAAAAATAAGTTGAAATAATTTAAGGTCCAAATCATCACATAATTTACATTAAGAATTTCTTTTAATATGCGTTATTTGTATGATAGTATTGGTAATATTTAACCGCTAGACTCATTTAATTAAAAAAAAAATTATATTTACAAACTTTTTATTTATAAATTCTTACAAATTACATTATATCTGACTGATAAAATACTTTTAAGTGAAATCTGATTGGTCAAACACAGTGTAATTTATAAATATTTTTTTGTCAATGTAACTATTCTCTTTGATTAAAACATAATATAAAAACAACTTATTAGATTTATATTATTTCAAGGAGCTACTAACACTCTTCTTTCAACAATAGCAACTGGGCAAGGCAAGGCCCACAAGCTTCTGAGTTTTCTAGTGAGTCTCTAACCGTTTAAGAGATGAAGTGACTTTCTTCTCCTTCCTAATCATAATCCAACTATAAAGAAGAAGAAGAAAAAAAATCAGTCTCCCAAAAAAGCAGAAGCAAAAAATGGCGGGCTAAATTAAGATCCATATTCAAAAACCTGCAAGCTCAAAATTCAGAGTGAAAGCGAGCAAAGATGGAGTCCCCAACCTCAATCTGCGACGCAGAGATTCCTCTTCAAATACGCAACATTGATGCTTTCTACGCTTCTTACGCCAAATCCCTCCAAACCCTGAGGGCCACAGCACAACAAACTGCTCAATATCAAGGTCTTTGCTTCCATTTCATTCACGGATACGCTTGCTTGTCATAGATTAGGGTTTTAATTCACTACCTTCGTCTTACTGTTTTCATCTACTCTCTCACTCATTTCCCCCCCTCCTTTCCTCCCAGTTCAACTAGAAGAGATTAAAGTTAAATCGAGGGAGGCGGAAGATGATTTGGTCAAAGCACTTGCAGGTTACTTCAATTTTTATTTTTTTTTGGGTGGCGGATTTCAGTTTCAATTTTTAATTGAATTCGGCTTGAGCTTCCTTGTTTTCCCCAAATAATCGAACATGTGCAGTCAAGACCCGCAAAGAGGCCAAGCGAATGGCATTGATGGATGCTATTGCTTCTGCAAAAGCTAGAGTTGAAGACCTCAACACAAGTATTCAGGAGCAGCGAACCAAAAAACAAGAATATGCCGCATTTCTATCTCAACAATCTTCCGGTTAGTGATACACCTCTTTGTCTCCAAATGGAACTATTTCTAGCTATTTAATTATTTAAGTCTATATTAATATTTGTATGGATTCTTGTACCTGCTTGATGTTTATGTATATCCGTGTGTGTGGAAAAGTGAAGGGTAATATTAACACTGCCTCTATTGCTTATTTGAAGAGTTATATTATGTAAACATTATTAGTTCTTCCACCATTGTCATCACAATTAGATATGATTGTAGCTTGTGATATTTTCAGGCTCATGTGGTGGACATGATAGGATAAGGACGAATAGGATAAGAGGGCTCGATAAGAATAGAAAATGATATGGACTTGATAAGCTTATGACAAAAACAATTTGAATAACATTAAAATGAAAAAAAGAAGAAGTCACATTCACATGCAAGAATGAACGTTGAATAGAGTTAATTCACATTCATATTCACATTGGATTATAGTTGGGGGTTAATTTATTTAGTGGATGAAATAATTATCAACCATGTCAAGCACACAATGCAATATTTGGATAAAGCTAGAGATTTGTTACTCAATGAAAGTTAATGAAAAAACAATCTCAAGCATGAACGTTACAATGGCGGTGGTTGGCCGGTGGCAGCGGCGGTGGTTAGTGGCTAGTGGTGGTTGATTGCTGGTGGCGATGGCTGTGGTTGGTGGTATTGGTGGGGCTGGCTCTCACATTCTCAAGGAAGCTCCAAGGAGGCAGAGGGCTACTTTTGGGAGAAGAGTTTCTTATCTTATCTTTGTTGAAACCTAACCCAAGCTCTCCTTTGGATTGCTTATTTGGTTGTGGGTTGGATAAAATGAGTTAATAGGATAATCTTATCATATCATGTTGGCTCACCAAACAATAGATAAGAGTAAGATATGATAGTATATTTTATCTTATCCCCACTATCATGTCCACCAAACAGGCCCTCAAGTCTACATGTTTATTTGTTTGCAGGGCATATCTTACTTGATGGCTTAATCCATTTGAAATTATATGTAAATATGATCACAATATATGTGGAACCAAGTTGTCTATAATCATATATTTCCCGAGTGTTAAACAGCTGACAGTGGCCGCTACCCGCAACAGTTGCAGTATAGCGCGAAAAAGTGGCGCTATTGACTCAAGCTCGGGCTGGGGTAGGTAGAGGAGTCGGCTTTAGAGTAGAGTCTGTGGTGACCTTATCATCAATGACATGAGTTGGCTTTGGAGATTGCCAACAATGATAAGCCCAAGCAGAATGAACAAGAATGGATGCTTTATGAACATAGGGCATCTCTAGTGGGGTGAACTCAACAGAGGAAGAGGTAAGACCACAAAAATATAGTCAGGAGACCTAAAGCAAGGAACAAATTCAAAAAATGTAATATCAGCCGAGATCAAATATCAATGAAGAGTAGTGAAGTACCAATGATAACCCTTTTAGGGCCTGTTTATTAAGCACAAAAAATGACATCTGATTATGAGGTAGCAAGCAATAAGAAATAAGAACAACATATCCCCAAAAATAGAAAGTGACATGTCCATGAAGTACGAGTGTCCGAGTGGTTTCAATAAGGTGTTAGTTTTTGTGTTCCATAAACCTATTTTGTTGAGGGATATGGACACATGATGTTTGGTGAAGAATGTCATGTGAGGTTGTAAATGTTTGAAAGGATTGAGACAAGTATTCACGTGCAGTATCACTGTGGAAAATATGAATTAACACCCCAAGTTGAGTCTTTTTTTTATAATAAAACATTTGAAATATAAAAAAACAACTAAGACCCTTTTTTCCATTAAAAATAACCAAGTATGATATCAATAAAAGTGACAAAATATTTGTACCCCTCGAATTATGAAAATGAACTAAAGCAAATGCAGACATAGCTCGATGACTAACTCAATTGAGAAACAAACTACGGGTATGTTTCCCTAATTTACAATACTTACAAAGTAAACGAGACAATTTAGAGAGACTTGGCGTCAATTCCCAAAACATGGCAAGGTTAGGATAATCCAATTGAACATGAATGGTGAGAGGAGCATCCAATACAGGGAAAACACAATAAGAGTTGGTAAACCGGTATAGGTTACGAGACTCACATTTGGCACCAATTGTCCATCTTGAACCCTAGTCTTACGGGATTATAGAATCTTGAATAAAATAAATTATAGTGTCAAGAGAACAAACCAAAATTACTAATGGAATGTAAATTGAATGGAGAAACTGGGACATAAAACATATTATCAACTGAGAGGGAAGGGAAGGAATGGACAGTACTAACCAACCCTTTGTGGCCGTACTTTGGAACTATTAACTAAGGGGACAGTTGGCAAATAACCAGAGGTAGGGATGGAGGAGAGAATTTACTTAATACTAGAGATATGATCCTTGGATAGTTCTGCATCTCTGTGGTGATAAGTTACTTTTTCTGGCAGTTTTCCGGCAAGTCTCGTCTTGCTCTGTTCAGTTCTGACTTGTCCTTCTCTATGCTTGTTTGTTCTGCATCTATTCTGCCTCTGTTAAGGACTTTAGTTTGCATTTTTATAGACTTCCCTATAGCAGCAATCCTGCTATAGTAGTTTTGGGATCGGCTGCCATCCAAGATTGATAATTATGAACTTGAGATTCTACCAAGTTGTAGGTTGGCACGTGACGAATTGTTTGTTGTGATTTTTGCCGAGAAGGTCATCAGAAAAGTGATAGTGAGAGTGGGATATTGTTGAAAGGATGACTTAATAGTGGTTGAGCGGCTAATTGGAAGGGGGGGAAACGGTGGTCAGAAAAAAAAAAGTCACCGGTGGCCAATGGGTCCACCAAGTGTACACGACTTAGGGTATCTCCTTTTCAGACTCTAGATACCATGTTACTATTACACAACAATATCTAAATGCTTTTGTGCGAAGATAAATACAAGTAATAATTATTGTAATTATATGATTTAATTTTTCTTTTACGATGAACCTAGGTACTTCTTACATAGTTTCCAATGTATGTTTTACAATGTTTTTGTCATTTGTGCTTTATTACATGCTTTTACAGGACACATTTTGGTATTATGTTTCAGTCTCTTTTCCCTTTTATCTATTTGCATTATTTTACTTACTAAACTTGAAAATTTTCATCATGAGAAATATTATGGACTATTCTAAGCTTCTCTCCCCTTCCCTCTCTTCTATTTTCTTCCATAAAAAGCTTTGACAGCATTTGAAGGGAGTTTAAATGAAAGCATTGAACATAAAGATGAAACACAGGAGGCCATCTCTTGGTACAACAGGGTCCTTGGTTTTTATGTCAAAGGCGGACGTGGTAATTGACGTTAATCTTTTTGAACAAGGATTATTCTTCTTTTGCAAAATTGATATCCTCACTATTTCTTATGCTTTTCAGGGGTAAAATTCACATTCAAGAATATAAATTTGAACAATCCAAACGAGGAGTTTTTTTTTACTATCTGCCATGAAAGCAATTCTTACACGTGTAAGCAGCATATCTGGTTTTGTTTATGATCTTAAAAAGTATGCTGATATACTCCATGATATCTGAATTTTGTTATTTATCTTTCAGTGTTAATTTGTGAACCTTTCCTCAGTGACATCAAAGAGTTGATCAATGAATTAAACAGGACAAATGGTCTGTTTAAATTTGTCAGAGTAATGAGGAAAAAGTTCCAAGCAGCAGTGGCACAAGGTACAACAATGGCTCTTTCAATCTTTTAGAATATTGCATTCATGACATGCGGGAGCCCAGTATATTGGAGACTGAACTGACCGCTACAATGGCAAAACAAGTGAATTGGCCCTTTTGTTCAATCTGATTATTATTTGAAAATTGACTGAACCAGTTGGTTTTCTGTCAAACCAGTAATCTATTGCCAATTCTGCGGGTTTATTTGGGCTCAAAGTTGATGAATTGAATGTTAAATATTAGGGGTGACAATTTGTGCCAACGGTATATATTTGTGTTGGGTTGAGGTATGACATAAATATGGAATACACTCAACTCGAATATGACAAGAATAAAGATTTGTGTCAAAATCTTTGACACAAATATGATCCACTCATTTTGTTGGTTGATACGACACAACATGAATAACCCACCAACCTTCAAATATGGGCTTTTTGACCATTATAGCCCTTATTTAATAATTAATTACCAAATTGACCTTGATTATAAACTATTTCAAAAATTTAACCTCTCCAGAAAACATAAACCAATCTGCCCTTGTTTGACCGTTGACCATCAAACTTACCCGGGTATCCCCTTCCCTACCCGGGTATTTTTTGAAAATTTTAAAATACCCGAGTAGGAAGGGAGATACCCGGGTATATTTCAAAAAACTGGAAAATGCTTGAATTATTTACCCGGGTAGGGAGGCGGATACCCGGGTAAATAGTATTCAGTTTTGGGTGGTCAATGAATCCATTAGGTGCCACTTCATATCCTCTAGCTATCGAGAGCGTAGTCTCGGAAAGCAGCGTCTTCTAGAGTCATACGCGTGTTGGTTTAAAGATTAGAAACTGTTTATACAAAAAATAAAAAAAAATAAAAGATTAGAAGCTAGATGCGTCACATTCGCGTATCTTTAAACTTCATCCAAAAAGCAACCACCAGTTGACTTCTGGCCCAATTCATTTCCTCTAATATGCTATTTGTGTTTGAAGAAATATAATATAAAATATAAAAATTATGCTAGATCTACACAGTTAGTTAAGAAGTATACTCATATCTCATATAGATATGAATTCGAATTGAAGTGAGGAAAGTAAATGGTGGATAGTAAATGCAGTAAAGGATTCTGGTGGACAGTAAATGGCATATTTACCCGGGTAGCCGCCTCTCTACCCGGGTAAATAATTCAAGCATTTCCCAGTTTTTTGAAATATACCCGGGTATCCCCCTTTCTACCCGGGTATTTTAAAATTTTTAAAAAATACCCGGGTAGGGAGGGGGATACCCAGGTAGGCTTGATGGTCAACGGTCAAACAGGGGCAGATTGGTATTATGTTTTCTGGAGAGGTTAAATTTTTGAAATAGTTTATAATCAAGGTCAATTTGGTAATTAATTATTAAATAAAGGCTATAGTGGTCAAAAAGCCTTCAAATATGTGTTCTTGATATTGGTGTGACTGGGGGTTGATATGACATGACATAAAAAACTTGTGCATTGAATGTTGCCTTCATCAATGAATAATAATAACCAGACAAACAACCTGCTAGTCAAAATTGTAATTAACCACAAAAATGGAAGTCAGTGTTGTGTTTGTGGGTTGACACGCAACACAACTCGATACAACATGAATGTAAATGTGGATCAACCCGAATATGAAAATCTCATATCGTGTTTGTTTTGTGTCATTGAATTGTGCAATGAAATGTCATCCCTAAATTTCCAATGTCTTTAGAAAGGAATTTATTAGGTTCTCATCATCCATGTTTAATTGTCAGTTGTAGCTATAGCTGAGCCAAGTGTAGTATAAAAGCAATACAGAAAAAAAATTGTATCAGTTTTAGTGATAGTAAAATGGGTTTTATAATTCTCATTTAACATGAGAATTCAAATTTTCCTACACACCCTTCGATTTTCGTGCTGACATGGGTCCTACATATAATTTTTTCTAACACATGGGTCCCACATGCTTTTTATCTCTACAACATGAGAATTGAATTCTCATTCAACATGAGAAAATCAAACCCCTAGTAAAATATTCATTTTTTTCATATATAAATGATAAATAGTTGAAAATATTATATGCATATTAGTTATTTTGTGGCAAAGACATTCACGAAATTGTTAATCAAATTAACATCTCATCTACAAAACATTATGAAAAAAGTAAAATAAATATATATTTCTTATATTATACAAATTTATTAATAATTCAAAGTATATATTATAATGATACTTTTCATTAATTAAGGAAAATTAATGTATGTAATACTGTCTTATATGTATTATTGAATTATTCAATCATCATTTTGATATATATGATAATTTTGTTATTATTTAAGCATTATATGAATATATATGTTATTTTTCTTAATGTATTTTGTCATATGTTTATTAAAATAATATCTTGAACCCTGGTCAGCTGCAGTTCAACCCATGTTGAACTGTTAAGTCTCTAACCCTTGGCCCTGTCCTTAACCAGTTCAATAACTTGCTTGTTTTTGGAACATCGATGAAAATAGGGCTTACTATGAATGCTATTTTCTAAAATTACAACAAAACAGGGAGTTTAATTCTGACAACAGTTGAACATGAAGAATCTGCCTTTATCTCTACATCTGCTCCGATTTTATCAGTGTCATATGTTAGAAGTGATTCTCCAACCAAGGAAAATGAGCATCGATCTGAGCCCACAGAAGGTAATACACAATTCAAGAAACAAAATGTTCGCAGAAGGGTAAAGTCAGCAGTTTTATCTCCTGGATCTGCATCATCTGTTCGCCAGTCCCCTCGTTTGAAGGTATGAATTGGTCACAAGTCACCTGTTGTATTTCTTGAATTTAATTTCCTGTCTCTGTACAAGTTGTTATCCCAATATCAGGATTCTCTTGGCAGATGATGTTGTCCACTTGTATTGTTGTCTATTGTACTCTACTTTCAACATTCGTATGATCATGAAGCTACTTTATATCATTCTTTACCTTTTCTTGGTGTGATTGACCAAAGGCCTTGAGAAAGATGATAATAGTTAGACTGACTCCTTGACCTTGTGCTGTTCAAACTTCAAAGAAAAATAATTTTATCCTTGATAGAGGCACTGCATATGCTGAGAATTTTACAATAGTAATTGAATTATCTATCAACATTGCATGATGGTTATTGTTTGAATTAGCTTAAATCAGTGGCTTTGACCCCATTAGCTTTTGGAACTGAACTGGATTTTGCCTATAGCTTATAACACTGACTCAAAGGAGGACATTCTGATGAACTTGATTGTCTCTTGTTTTTATGTTTTGGTTAGACGGAAAAGTTGAGAACACTAAATGTACATGTTAGCTTTCCCTCATTCCAATCTGACATTTGGTCCTTCATTAACTATTTAATTGTGCCACCTAGTTGCATGTTCCTTTTAGAGTAAACCCTCAAACTAGTCCCCAAAATATATAGCGACGGTCATATTAGACCTTAAAAGATAAAAATTACTACATAGGTCCCTGACATATATATATTCAGTCAAATTAATTCCTAATTTAACTCGGATTAATTTGACTGACGGAATGCATATTTTGGGGATTTAAATGATAATTTTTATCTTTTAGGGACTAATATGACCGATGTTATCATTTACTCTTTTATTACCTTTTTTTTCTGGATCTGAAATATAAATATCTTTCTGGGAATATTATTGTAAATGCTAGAAAACTTGCAGGAGCTAACTTGCAAAAGTTTATGTTCATTGGACATTTTGTCTTCAATAGTATACTACTGGTCCTTCTGGATTTTTTATTTATGGATGATTGATTAAAAGGATTCTGAGTATCGAAAAAATTAAAATGCAAAAAGAATGGTAATTTGCTTTAATAGTTTGTGTGCTCAAGTCATATTCATGATTGAGCTTTTATCTTTTTGACGCATTCTTGGGTCCTGTGGTGCATTACATTTAAGGGGTCTCTATAATCTATGTTCTGGCATCATTAAATTGTAAATAAATTTTAATGGCAAGTTATCTAGATGAGAAAAATTTTATATGACCCTTGCATATATATATGGACGCATACAAAGTCAGTTAATACTGAGGTCTCATATATGACAGGCTAGGCAATAAAGTCGAGTGGAGGATGCTTGCCACCTCATTTGATGATGCATGCTGAGGTCCCCGAAGCGCCCTTGTAGTCATAATTCATGACTCAGGTTTCTAAGTGCTAACAAATTGACCCTTAATTCCAGACATATCTGCGTCCTAGGTGTCTTGTATATAACAGATCAGAAGATCTCCACAAAATTGGTCAAACTTGAAACTATATTGGGTGACACGAGATTGGGTGTAAGTTTTTAAAAAATCATGTATTCTTCATGACAATTTGTTTTGTATTGTTTTTTTTTTTCCGGGATAAATCATAGGTATCCTCCGTGGGAGGCAATCCTGTTCGGGACGGGTCCAAAGTTGAGACTTTAAACCCCTCCCAAATATGATACTGGGAAGGATCGGACACATGTTCTCACCCTCATCTGCTTAGCTTCCATGCGTCAATTGAGCTACCATCATTTGGTTTTTCTTGTTCTTTTTAGTGTTTCTTCCTTGTTGCTAAACTCACAAAATTATTCGATGAAACATAAGTGTATTGGAAATGTAAATGAAGCAATTTATTGGTAATGAATCTCCATGATCCTTTTCGTTGTTTGTTTGTTTTTTTAAAATTCTCCCTTTTATCAAAAATTTCATTTTAACCAGTCATTTCATCGATCTTTTGCTACTATGTGACCTAGTTGTGGAAAGTGTCTGCCCTCGAGGCAAAGGCTGTGTACATCTATCCTAGAGGCTTGTACTAAATTTCTAGATGAAGTCAGAGCCCATATGTAGGCTGCAATTTGATCAATCCTTTTATCAACAATGAACATCTCCTAGTTTGTACTTTTTCTTGAAACTTATATCCAATAATAGTAATTGATTATTTTGAAGGTAGCCTTCCCCGTTCCTATATTTGTTTTTTACAGTAGGTCAACTTTTTAGTATATTGAGAGAGAGAGAGAGAGAGAGATTTTATGCTTTATGTTCTCTTGTACAATAAATCATTCGTATTATTAGCTTAAAGCCCCTTGATTAATGCTTGCCACTTAATGTAAATAGATAATCACATATATATATATATATATATACACATATACACACGGAGTGTAGATTAGTAGGTAAAAGGGGGAAGAAAGACTTCAATGTGCTGCTTGACGTAGTCGTTTGTGAAGCAAGGCATGGGTGTCGTTCCATAGCTTTTTAGCTTCCGATTCGTCATTTGCTAGACTTGAGCAGTTATTCTCGTTACAATCTATAAAGTACTTCCCACTCACCCCTTCTGTTTGTCGGCTTAGAGCAACATAACACGTCGTTGATGCACCCTGCGGACACGCATTAATGTAAATATTGCCACTTACAGTGAAAAATGATTGGATTATTACAAATGAGTCATTTTTTCCCCACCCCTCTGTTGCCTAGTTAGTTGGGTTATTCACCATTAATTTCTTTATGTGAATTTCTACATCACTGCAACTAGACAGGGTAGAATTCTCCTACTAGAATCTTTCTTCACTCTTATTAAGATTCTATTGTATTAATAATATATTTCTTTACAAACCTGTGATACCGATTTCAGTAACTTCGATGCAATGAAAAACAGGGAATCTGCATGGAAGTTTTACGAATGCTTAGTGGCTTCGACCTTATAAAAATGCAATAAGGAATACGAGTTACCAAATTAATTAAGCTTTGTACTTACCCGTTATTAAGCCCTTATGTGCTCTAATAATTCCCGTCTTCACAATACCTGGATGCACTGCATTGATAGTTACCCTTGCATTCCTTGCCTGTGATTATCTCCCAATTTCCAAGAATATTTTAGTGGGTCATACAATGTTCTACTTTAGCAGCATTATGATCACCGTTCACCACAGATGGAAAGTACAAAAATAGAAAGTTTGGGGTTATTTCTCATTCTAACCTTCAGCTGTCTGGCCATTTCCTTCACATGCAGAATTTTGGCCAACTTTGACTGAGCATATGCGCGTGTGCCATTATAACTGCATTTGTCATTTATAAGATCATTACAATGATTAGTATCCAAAATTGAATGCAATCAAACTTGTTCTTAATTTTGCAGAGAAGGGAAGCAAGTGTTGGTTGTACTTTTCTCCGCTGAGCATGTTTTTGAAACAAAAATCAGTTCTTTTCACCCAGCTATGGATCACAGAAGAAACGTTTATGATTCTTCCTTGAATGCCTGTCTTCTTTGCAGTATCTATCATTTTCTCTAGTAGCATTTTTGTTAACAAAAAATGTCCTGCAATATAAGAAGAAGAAAAATAAAGAAATTATGAAAGTATTTTTTTTTTTAACCTTTCCGGTCCATTTCAACATAAGAATGACAACAAAACATCATCAACAGACGCATTGCATATTATAAATAGGCCACAAAGAGGAATTTGGACTTGGAACTCAAAAAAAATGGTGCACCCTCGGTGCTTTGTATTTCTTGACCAAAATGAAGGCTAAAGTGATATCCAAGCTTGCCCCATCGTATACCCGTTGTCGTGGACCACAATCTAGTCCATCAACATTAAATAGGCCTTAAACAAAAAGCATGAGAGATGTTACTTCTGGTTTTTTATATGATATAAACTTTTTATCAGCAAAATAAAAAGTCGTTACTGATTGTTAATGGAGATAAGAGTTTTGATTGATTGAAAATGGAGCTTTGTACAATTTATCAGTTATCAAAATTAACTACTAGTTTTTTTTTAACTCAAATAAAGCCACTGAACACATTTTTATATTATGTAGAGTAAATATCTTCTTGGGTCCTTGATAAAAAAATACGGAATCCATTTTAATTCTTTAGAAAAAAAGTATTTATATTAGTCCTTTTAAAGGATTAACAGGGGTCTTCTTTGAATTTCAGAGGAACCATAATTTCAAAGAACTGAAATTTCAGAGGGACCACAAGTTGATTTTTTTTGTTCTAAGAGAGTAAATATCTATATTTTTTTGTTGAGAACCCAAAATGATATTTATTCTATTATGTATGAATATTAGAATTATATGTGTAAAATCAAACCTTCCTAATTAGGAGGAGTGAAAATCATTCAAAGATTTTTTTTCTTTTTTTAATATACCATCCATATATCGGTCTTTGAATTTGAAGACTTGTGCATAGTGCTATCCAAACTTAACGGTGGTCACTGAGGACTTTATTTGAGCCAATTTCAACGATGGTTGACTATGCTTCTTTAAATTGTGTGTGATAATTTGTCTTGTGTTAAGGGCTGCAACAAAGGGTGTGGCATTCAGATTATGCTGAATGAGTGGTTGCCAGAGATTTAGCAGTGCTTTTCAATCTTAAGTTGATACCCACCCTTAGAAATCGGTAAGAATGGAAAAGTACCTAAGTAATTCGTAGCAAATGTCATTTCAATTTTCACTTCGGAGAACTCCAGGTTTTGAGAGTATGTTCCTGCATTGTTTCTGTAAAATAAATTTATTCCAACTTTTAGCACGACATTCATTTGCATGATTTCACCTTTTCTTACCTAACAAATCACGAATATAAAATGAAATGGAGGAAAAAAATACGATAAAAAAAAGTAACTTACATGAGAATATTAAGGGGCAGTTCTAAAGCTAGAAACTCTGAACAAAATCTCTGTACAGAAGCAAAAGAGCTAAGATCAATCTCCAACAGAATAACCTCAACGTTTGGACTCTCCTTTTGGATTTTCTCTCTGACTTCTCTAGCCTTTCTCAAGTCCCTCGCACCAATCACAACTCTCACTCCTCTCTTTGCTAACACCCTAGCTGTTTCAGCTCCAATACCAGAAGTGGCACCTTCGATTAAAATTTCAACAACAAATAACAACTTCAGAAATTATGCTTATCCCATATTCTTGATTTATCATTCTTGATGAAGGTCAATTACAAGTGTGGAAAAAAATAAAAAATAAACTGATCTGTGAATTGATCCAAACAGCACCAAAAAGAATTAATTTTTTTTTGAATTGATTCAAGAATTGAACCATTTTATTAGAACAGTTCAAGAATGGAATTATTTTTTTAAAATTAGTTCGGTTCGATAACCAAATTACTTCATCAATTTAGTTCGATTTAGGCTGAAAACCCGAATCGAACGAAAACAAATTCATTTTTAGGAATGTAAATAAATCAAATGAACTAAACTAAACCGCAAATCAAATTGAATAGCACCATATTATTTTCAAACTGATTTAAGAACATAATCATTTTCTTCAAACCAATTTAACAATCGAATCACTTTTCAAAACTGGTGTGGGAAATGGGGCAGGGGATAGTTTGGTGTGGGAAAAAAAGGAGAAGATTATGAGTTTGTGGTGTATAGATGGGGTGAACCAATAAAAGAACAATGCACAAAAGAGACAAAGACTTCTTCATGTAGTAAAAAAGAACCACCATCCCAAAGGTGTGCTCACGTGTGAGTGCCTGCAGAGTAAACTCTTGAGGCTCTACCTTCCCCAATGCCACAAAATAATCAGTAAGAAAACCATCTGACATTTTTTTTTTTTACTCATGTGAAAGCTTAGCTGGTAAATTACTATCAAATTAAATAAAATCCGCCGTAAAAACTTGCATAGAGATTTCTGTCACAAACAAAACAAAGTGCAGATTGAAGAAGTACAAATGAAAATGCCAGTGATATAAAGAAGGTGACAAGAAGAACATTCTTCAAGAATTTTCAAAACCAAATGATGGACGCTTTCACAGTACTCTCGCTGATCGGCTTCTGGAAACACAGACTCGAAACCATGAAAGATCAGAAGGTAAAACACAGTAGAAAAAACCTGAACCATAATTGGTTCAGGACAATATGTTTGGTCACAAGAATATTAGTGGAACTGGAACAATGATAAACTTTTTCATAGCTTTTTATGGTCTTTTTCGTTGTAGCGTTTATCAGAGACTATGTAAGACTTACCAGTGATAAGAGCGGTGAGATTGGAAGGAAGACAGGAAGAGCAATCTTCAGTGACTTGTTCAGCAGTTGAATTTGAGCCAAAACCACTAGGGCCTGCTATGCCTGCTAAGTACCTTAGTGTTGCCTTCATGGATTGCCCTGCTTTACAATCTCACAAGGAAAAAGCACTCTTGCGTTGAATGAGAAACCACACACACACACACATATATATATATATATAGAGTATCACCAGTGTAAGTTACACTCTTAATCTTGTCCATTGATTCCATTTAAATCTAAGGACTCAAATTTTTTTAGTATTGTAAGTCATTAGATACAAGTGGATCAATGATCAAGATTGAGTGTAAGACTTCTAACTCTTATATCGGTGTAATAATATCTTATCCCATATATATATATATATATAGACGCACGCACACACAACACAACAGATACTCATACGGTATTGCCATAGAGTTTCCATTTAGTCCTTTGACTTGGACCAACCTAACTTAATGATCTTCACCAATTATTAATTAATTAATTAATGTAGTTGCTTATCTAAGCTCAACCACATTGTTTCGTGAAATATAGTTGTGTTGGTACATATATTAGATGATACACACAATTTCTTCCTATCAGAGCACCCAAGAATTTCTCACTATGATAACTGTTTATACCACCTATATCTTATGGTCCACAAACTATGTAACTTGAACCTATCAAGACGGTTAGACATTAATTTATAGGAAAAATTGTTTGTGTAGTCACTAGATATAAAGTTTTGTTTAGTCACCGCATTATAATTATATGCTTCCAAAAATATATAGTTATAATATTAAAATTATATTTTCTTTTCTCTTTTTTAAACTTATCTACCGAAGTGGAAAGTGGAAAAGAGTACAACTTTAATATTATAACTATGTATTTTTCGAAATACATAATTATAATGCAGTGACTAGACAAAATCTTATATTAGCATGTATTTTATAGATATCTCTATTTGCAACATTCATTGCATTTTTTCCCTTTACTTTTTCGGTCTTCATTTCTCATAATTACTGCCTGTCCTCATTAAGTGGCTTGCATTTCCACTGCGCTATGAACTTAATTTGATGATTTCTTGGCAAAACTTTGGAGTCCATATGATTAAGAGTAACAATGAATCATTAATTATGTGAAGATTACTTCTGAAGTAAAACCAAATTCTTACGTGTACATGATGTTTGGTAGTTGTGCGGTTGTGCCCCCTCTTTCATTTTCTTTTGTTTTGCACAAGGATTCTCGATTTACTTTCACTTTTCTTATGTGGTAATCAAATTTGTGTGGATCCATTTTGCTGTACTTTTTAATTTCCGTCTACAATGACAATGATCATCTTAACCTCTTTGTCATCTTTACACAGGATTGAAGCAATGTTTTTTTTTTTTTGTCTTCGGGGGAGGGGGTTCATGAGTAAGTAAACGTTTTAACCCCTAAATTGATCATATCACCACAAGAAAATGGGTTGTTACCATGACAGCAAAGTCGCCTCTAAAATCCTTACATATTTATGCAATAATTAATGGCTAGCTAAAAGGGAGAAAGTAAGAATAAAAAGTTTCCATCATTTTTGTGCCACCCATTTAAGTACACTAGTGAAAATAATAGTGATAATATGGGAAAAAGAATTATTAAAAGGACACAAGTTGTAAACCGTCATACTTTGTGTAAATCTAAAATGTCACTTTTTTTTTTCTCTCCTCAGTCACATCACTGACGTATAAAGTGAAAAAAAAGTAACTTTTCATAATTACACAGAGTATGACCAGTCATATTCTGTGTAAGTCACTAAAAATATATAATTTGTGTCTTTTTAAATGACACACACTAAACCCTGATAGTATATATTAGATATGGCATGATACAACTGTGGGAATAAAGACCGTAAAATCTGATGCTTGATACAACTGAAAGGACAAAGACTACTAGACAAGATGATTCAATCTCTATTGCTCAGCAAGATACGTGATCTGCTTTGCCTAACTTCTTTTTGAAAGGCTGTTTGACCTTAATTTTATTTTTTATTTTTTACAAAAGTAGTTTTTAGTTTAACAAATCAAAATGCAACTTCAGTGTCACATAGTCCCCGCTATGCTTAATCTTGCATATGCAGTGACCTAAATTATATTTTTACACCAAAAACCTTGATATTTTGCATCAGCTAGTTATATTTCCCACTTCTTTGTGATCCGTTACTTAAAGAAATTCAAAAAAAAAAAAAATGAATGAAAAATGATTCAGAAAAAATGAAAACAGTCTATTACACAACAAATTCTTGATAATATATAAAATTAATCGTCACACTCACAGAGATGTTTAGGATATGCATGGTATCCAACCGTCCGCAATTGTCAATGATTTTGTAGAAAAAATGATGCAACTTTTCAGGAAAAGGAATATTTTTTTAATTACCAGCTGAATTGATAATTAATTAACCATAGAAATCAAGTGGCAAGATTCATGCACGTCAACATTTGTTTAACGTTTTCTCTAATGACCCCTATACATATAACTTTTTTTTTTTTTTTTTGATAACATATACATATAACTTTTAATATATGAAAAATGACCCCTATATCTAATATTATTAGCTTTAACAAAGAATTGCATCTATATATCCATCTTTAAGTAATTCTAATTTCTTTATCCTTTTTTTCCTGATGATGGTTGCATGCACTGATGAAGAGAAAGAAAGATATAGGTATGAATGAATGTATCATAACACGTGTGCATCTAATAAAACCAATGATAGTACCAAGCATGCAATGAGAATTTGAACTTCGACAGAGTCATAGAGGATATATAGAAGGAATCAAAAGAGAGAGACATATACGCGTTGTAGAAAAAGATGCTTTTGTTGCGTGCATACCGTGCCATTCACGTCTCTCTTTTATACGAGAGAGGTCCAATTTCTCTTTATCCATCCATGGCACTTTGAGAATGATGGGCGGTGTTGGAGCTTTGACGGACTAAAAGTTAGGCATTGAGAGTGACCCTTCAACAATGGAGTGGTGAAATGTGAATTGTGGATTGTGCATAAGGGTCCCATAGTGTTTCCCAACTTGCCAACACCATCTCATCACCTGCCACAACTCTTTCAAGTGCTACTTACTCGGTTACACTTACGTAGTTTCACATGTGATCTCTTGTTCAATCCTTAATGTCTCGGCATGCGCCTAGAAAAAAGTCTGTTCACTAAAGTTTGAATATATATTATTTTCCATATATATATATGGCATGAATATATACTACATGCATTATGCATATGCAGACATACATGCTTGGATCACACAAAAAGGCACCTTCCATTATTCAAAAGCTAAAGTGGGTAATTATGACTAGTACCTTCTTGTTTTGCTGAACAAGTTGTGGGGTTTCAATAAGTAAAGGTTGCAATATAAACTCCCATTGAGGAATTTTCTTAATTTGTTTGTTTCGTTTTAAAGATGTTCATTCAAGTTGTTGAATCGTTTGTTTTGTTTTTTCAATTATGATATATGGCAGTTTTGAATTATCTGTATCATGATTATATATTTCATCCCTCCACCTTGATCAAAGCATTAAACTAACTAGGAGTCTTTAATTTCTATAATTTTATATTCTCATCAGGAATGGATATATATCAATAAACTATGGTTAACGTGACAATAAGTTTAAACTTCTCTTAATATCAAGAGCTTGAATATACAAAAATGCATTTATGAAAAAATAGCCTTAGTATTCAAACAAAATTAGTCTTGCGCTGAAAGGGTGTGAAAATATCCGACAATGACAAATATTTTCTGGAATTAATGTGCAATAATCAATTAGTTATTGCATGCCATTAGGTAGTAAAATGTGTATGTCTCTATAGCTTTTCAATTTCAAACTTACAAGTTATTGCCACTTAAATGTATCTAAGCTTATGATGATACACTTGACCAATAAGAAAGAACTGAGGTTAATAACTCGTAAGATTGAATTAGTCGAATTAAATTCATTTCGCATGTCATAGATAAACTTTTTGATTAATTTTGTGGTTTAATCTTCAAGCTAGCCTTAAAGACTATGCCACCTACAAAGCTAATGGGTAGATTCGCAAAGTAATTAGTTTAGAAATTTGATTCACACGGCTGATTAACACAATAGTACTGGTTAGTTGAAAAGGTATGATTTATCAAAATATTGATGACGTATCATAAATTCGTTATTCAAATTAAGGACTTTGGTGTTGTCTCACTTTCTAATTTTTTCTATAAAATTAAGATTCACGTTTTCCTCCTCTGACCTGTTTTTAGTATAACAATTTTAACTTTGGCCATCTATCAAATAATCATACATGGTAATTTTGTTAATCAATCTAGATTGTAATATGTGGTAAACAATTTGTCTTATTATTAAATATGTCACAGAACAGAATTTCGTTAAACTTATAGTTATTTAGAATACAATAACTATATCCGATGATTTAATTCACTTAATATTTAATATCAGAATTTATTTAATATATGGTATGCAGTCATGTTAAAAATTTAATAACGAGAGTTTTGCTGTGGTCCCATCCGATTCATCTATAAAATTTAATCATATCATGATATGATCCAATGATTTATCTTCTTTTTATTATTTCAGTTTTAATGAAAGAAGGCTTGCCCATGCAGGCATATGAAAATGTTAGTAGGTTAATAACCAAAATAAAAATTGAGAGAGATGTTTAACAGAAAGTCAATATTGATAGGATTATTTCCATTTGAAGTTTTATTATTATTATTATTATTATTATTATTTGGGTAAAAGATTTCTCCAGGAAATAAGTTATCTTAGATAAGGTCAAAACAATGTTATTTTGGGGTAAAAATCAACATATTTTTGTAATTTTAATATATTATGTTATAGTCTGTATCATTATATTTTTTTAATCTTATAATCACAAAACGACATCGTTTTGAGCTCACTGTAAATAATTTTATCTCCAAATTTTTTCCGTATTATTATTAACGGTTGTTCGCTGGCTAATCGGTCTATAACTTTTTTACCATTTGAGTCTAAACTTATTTGTCTGACCTAGAGATAGTGAGAGATCTTTCACATTTGATATTCTGCATTTCAGTAGAGGCTTTTTTCTTTCTAATGTGATAGAAAAAATGTC